TACAAATGATCAAATCACAATAGATAAGTTTAGGTGTTTTCTGTGGAGCACCAATACAATACGAGAACAGCACAACAGGTATGATATCCCCCAGGGAGCGGGGCTGCCCGCAGCCGTTTATCTACACTACGGACAGGATCCCTGGTTTACAGCTCAGCATTTTTTTGCCGCCCATTAGGGAACGGCGGAAGACTTGATGGGACAGTCAGATTCATTGGCAGGATTATACAAGTGATGTCAAAGGAATCTGGCATTATCAAGGCGGTGGCACTTTGATTAAGGAAGACCCGCCTCTTCAAAAGGGAGAACGGCCGTTGCGCGAGTCCGTCGAAGGTAGGTCACCCCGCTCATTCGCGTGCGGCGCATCCCACTGAGGTCTCAGAATGACATTACATTACCACCAAGTGTCAGTGGAGCAAACAATTTGCATTTGTCCATGTTATCTTCTCTTCAGCTGACTGCCGTGGACCAAGCGCAAATCGTATGCCCCACTGACAACTGCGACGTTTGTCAAGTANGCCGCATGCGACGACCTGCCGCATGCGACGACCTGCCGCATGCGACGACCTGCCGCATGCGACGACCTGCCGCATGCGACGACCCGCCGCATGCGACGGCTACGGCGTGACCTAGTTTCAACGGACGCGCGCAACGAAGCACACCTCTTCAATGGCTCCTTATGATGTCATACCCTCTGTGTCTCGTATTGCGTTCACAAACCTACATTTTCTAAACAACAACAAACGAATTTGGCAATATTTCAATAGTTACCGTAAACGCTGATGAGCTTTTGATCTAGGCAAGTAACACTGAAGTAATCTAAATATAATATAACCTTATTAACAATCACAGACAGAGGCGCCCACAATGCCAAACATTGATCGTCGACGTAGACAACTTAGAAATGAGCTGAACATTCTACTTATTGAAATCGTGCACAAAATATATGCATGATAAAAAGTAATATGTTTTTGAAAAAAAAACTTGAGGATGACGTCATCAATTAGTATTCGTCGATCACCATTGTGGCCTCCTCAGCGGCCGATCGCAAATGTGACGATTTAATGAAACAGACCAGCGAAAATAACAACGAAAAACATGCTGAAAAACGAAAATACATTCAACTAATAACACTGCCATTTAAAGGAACAGTTCACGAAAAAAATGGTGTCTGAGATTAGGTCGGAGAACGTCCTAGTCAGGGAGTTATAAAGGCTCAAAGATTGTCGCGTGGGTATCCTCTGACGATTTTCACCGGTATTGTAGAGGCTGCACCGATCACAAGGGGACCCATGTAGGAAGTTCACACAACTTGTCATGAGTCACAGCGACAATGAAAGAGAGTTCTGTACAGCTCTGGCTTGATGTAGTCGGCTCTTTGCGCTATAGCAATAAGTGAAATCTCGTCCGAATGTGAAAATCTTCATAGCAATAAGTGAAATCTCGTCCGAATGTGAAAATCTTCCATGTTATTTCCGTCATGGCAATCTCATCCAATCTCTATTTTCCCTACTTTTGAGGAGCTGTATTCTTCTCGAAACCGGCAAATTCTCTCGCTTTCTTCACTACCGATAAACTATCCCCAATCCGTACTTCCGCTTTTCGAGAACTATTCCCAATCTATACTTCGGCTTTTCGAATAAAAAGGGGTACCTCAAAATTATCGTGAACTAAGCCTTTAATTGTAATCCCAGAAGCTTGTTGAATTGATGTTTCTGGAGCGTCATTTTATAGAGCAAAGTGGAAAGAATTGAGTGCAAAATTCTTACACAAACTATTTTTCCTGAAAGCCCCTGTTTCCATGCTCGACTACTAGATAGGACATATTCCCAACTCAACTATACGGACAATGTAACACACTGAACAAAATTAGTTTACGATGTAAAATAAGATTACTTACCAATTATAACAAGGTAAACCTTTTGTGGACTGAGGAGAATGAAAAGTGTGCCCATGAAAATGCTCAACGACAGTAGCGCACAAGCATAGGCGAGATATCGATAGGCCCAACGTCGATTCTGAAAGCCAAAAATTTTCTGCGTATAGATAGCGGACGTGGTGGCAAGTAGGGCACACTACCAAATGCAGTGTCCGGGATCGAACCTGGATTCGTAACCTACCCAGGCCAACTAAGCCTCCAATATCCCCAGGTTCAACTTAGTGGTACCAGACTCATTTGGAGGGTTAGAGCACTGAGTCAGATATCGGCAGGTCATCGCAAGTCATTGTATAGGCCACATACGCATTCAATCCCCCACTACGATTCTGAAAGGAACGCGAGTGCGGGACGCATTCCAAGAAGAGCAAAGTAAAGGAACCAATTCCTAATCTCATCAATCTGATCAATTACATACAAACGTTTCGCTATCTCCAAATTGGGCCACACATCTACCACCTACGAAGAATTTTACCATGATCGAAGGATGAAGAATGATTTATTGAACACACGTTGGTCATTCTCAACAAATGAGATAGTTTTCTCCAGGGCCAACATTAGAAGACCCACACCCAGAATAAAACATGACAGCCCCTGCCTCTCAGTGGCTATTTATCCCTTCCTATCACACAGCCTATATAGGGGACGGCAAGATATGGTAGAGAGCACTCTGACTTTTGACCAAATGCGAATCCGCTTACAAGATTTTTACATTATCTACTTGCATTACAAAAGCGGACTCTGATTTTGTTGAACAAGGCTAGCAAAGGAAGGATCCCATGAGGGAATGGTCACTTTTGATGAGACCATTACAGCGGTCATAACTTATATATTGAATTTGGATTTGCCATTCACGTTTTTCCTTTCTCTTCCGACAAATGTTTCTTGAAAGAAATTCATCGTGGTCATCATTACTCAAAACGAAGATAGAAACGGAGATAGAAAACACACAGGGGGTGTATGCTCGATCTTAAAGGCACAGTTCGCGATAAAAATGGTCTCTGAGTTTCCCCTATAGTATGAATTCGAAGCCCGCCTTTATACCATACCTGCGTTATAAGAACGAAAAACCATAGTCAGGGCACAAAAGGGGACAGAGATTGTATCGAGTGAATGCCACACCCATCGTGGACGAATTTCAACGGTTTTGTGGGAGCTGCACCACTCATAAGAGAACCAATGTAGGAAGTTCAAACAACTTGTCATAATCCATAGTGACAATGAAAGGCAAATCTAAACAGTTATGGTTTGATGTAGTCAGCTCTTTGCACGATGGGAGCAAGTTAAATCTCGTCCAAAGTCCCCTTACATGCCATTCCTGTCGCAGTTATCTCGTACAACCTCTACTTCCTCTACTTTTAAAAAGCTTGAAGTAGGCGATTTTTTCGCTCTCTTCGCCACCGATGCACTCCTCAACACTTCAGCTTTCCAACCTAAAAAAGGTACCTCGAAATTATTGTGAACTGTGCCTTCAGGCAACTAATGCGACCTGACCATCCTCTCTTGTAAAAATTTCTCTGCAGCTAACAGAATAAGTGTATTTGCGAGAAAGTTACGGATGATCTCTTCTCAAACTGACCCATTCAGTTCAGCCGCCTGCCATTGAGTCGTGTGGGGTCAACTTAACTCACGAACACAATTCAACGACAGAATACCATTTCAAAGCGATTTTGAGGAAAAATTCACGAATACAAAATTCATTGCTCAAAAGGCCAAAGCAATTCAAGCCGAATTTATGGAAAATTATGTTGGACCATTTCCCAATTGGAAATGCAAAATAGAACACGAAGATGAACCGGAACCTCGACTGCGGGAAACATTGGTCCCCTCTTTATAAAAGGTTGCCGTGACATTGAAGCCACAGTTAAATGAGCCATAGATTCAACAGGCAGAGACAACACCATAGAACAGTTCTGCGTACTTCAATAGCGTACTGTATAGCTATATATTAATACAGATGTATTACCGATTTCATTCGGGAACCTTTTCCCATACCAACATCCACCTTTGCAGGGTACTCAAGCCTCGAAAATGCTACTTGTGGTACACCAATGGAGTTTAGATGAAGAACGGTAAAAATAGACACGAATCAAACTAGAGATTTGAGTGATTTTCATGGTGATAAGTCGATATACTCTAACAACCAGCTAGATCTGTTGTGGTAAAACTTTGAAGAACTCACATAGAATCCGACAGAAACTCGATTGTAACAGAATGGACACGCCACCGCCCCTCGAAGACGATGAAACTGAATTATCAAACTGTTTTTAGAGCATATATATTGTTCACTGGAACGGAAAGACATGGATAAATAAATAGATAAATAAATAAATAAACAAATAAACAATGCTTGCATATTTTTTTTACTATTCAGCCTCAGTTTCGAATAATTGAATCATTTGCTCCCGCTACAGGATTCCCTAGAACGGAGCGGCCATGGAATTCCGGTAGTTCCGTTCACTCGCAGGTTTTCTTGCAGCGTTCGTCGTGAATAGTTAGGGAAGAGTACCCAGAAAGGGGAACGACTCAAGCCAACGCTTTCTGAGAAACTTGAAAGCCAACTTTGCATGGGACCCAGGTCGTTCTGACAGTGTTGGACGTCCAAACAGATCAGAAAGAAGATTCAATTGGCTCAGTTCTTACAGATGCCTTATGGTGGAACGAAATCCGATGGACACAGAATTTCGCAAACAACATTGTTCCATACATGGAATATTCTTATTCGAATACCCAAACTGTTGACCAGCCATGTATACGCAAACGACTTTTCGGAAAAGAGCTTTGAAGAAGCCCACGGTTTAAATATGACGTAGTTACGGGGCTGTGTCGCATCACAACCACTCGTTCCACTCAGAACCAACGGCCGGTTTACTGTCAGAACCTGCTTCCCAAACTGAATTTTCGTTTTTGGGTTTCGGTAATCCATGTTTTGACATCGACTTCATGCGCGAGCTATATGTACTCCATTTGAACAATTTTACGCTTGAAGACCATAAGTATTCGAAAGCACCCATAAAACCTTTTCCTTAAAGACACAGTTCGCGATAATTTTGGGTAATCCAGATTATGACGAAAAATGGAAGATAAGATGGAAAATGGTGTGATGACGGCGAAAAACTGCGTGAATCGGTGTTTCTAAAGTGAGAAAAGACTTCGAAGAATCGTTGAAAAGGGGGCTGGACGAGAACAAGACCAGAAAAATGAAGAAGAATGGGGCGCTTGGACGAGCTATACTATGTGTGTCAGTGCGCACGTGTGGGTCCTGGTGCGAATAACTGACTACGGTAGGCAAAAACTCATTCACTCATCAGCAAAGTTAACAAAAACCCCTAATAACAGCAAAAATAGCCCACCTTTTTTACCCTCTTGAGGTAGAAAATTAAATTAGGGATCGCAGCTGCAGAAAGAACAACAGAGAACAAATGAATCAGAGGAAATCAAGGCCTCATTACTCGGCGATCAGCTGATTGTGTGTGGGTCCTAGAGCGAGAATTTGCAAACTGTATCGTCTCGGCACCCGTCTGTCGTGACATCGATCGAAGGGCGGAAATTATCATGAACTGTGTCATAGAGACTTGCTTGACCTCTAACGAATTTGTCAGCGGCTCAAGATGATTTAGAGACTCAAAAACCACTTTTCCATTTGGGAATCGGTATCTGCGTTACATTTCCTACGTTTGCAATAACTTCCACAAATCATAATGGAAACATGGCAGTTACCCTGTAGAGTCCTTCAAATGCATCCTCCACAACAATGACCCCTTTCCAGTCCTTCAAACAAAAATTTATGAGAGCACAACTATCTCTACCCATGGTGACTCGATTATTTTGGATATGGATGGATATTGAATTGGAAACGAAAGTGTAAATCGACTTACTAAGAACTGCTCGCTGCAATGTGGACATACGTAACGCGGCGAGCACACATCTCGTGGATATCGTACTTTAGATAAGTTGGGACCTGGGAACATTACCAGTAACCGAACCTATTCACAGTTAAACAACGTGAAATTCTTGTGTGGAATGATCACTGTGCTCTAATAAGCTTTCAAATTTACCTGCAGGATAGGGAGGCAGCGTGTCGAATGGGAACGCTTGCCCAGGTGGCCATGAGAAATGTTGAACTTTTGAAGGTAGCGTTACTGTTTCCAGCGGCTTCTCCTTCATTATTACCACTGAAACATAAGACTTTGATAGGAATGTATATCAGAACTCTGGCCTTACTTCATAGAAACGTCAACAGTCCATGAAAAAAGGGACATGAATAGTCAGAAAAAAGGTGAACACACGGCGCATTCATACAATTATGCAAAAGCATGATTGTTATTCAGGAATAAGAAGAGGCTGAGTTGAGGCTAGGCAGTGGGGTGGAAGGGAACCCCATACACCAAATGCAAGTTTCTCCCGAACCTCCTATCCTCTTCTGGATAGCACTGGAAAATATCACACCTGTTGAGTGCAAAAAGAAACCTCTACCCAACCCAGTTCTTGCCCGTAAATCGATGCAAATCGAAGCTCGTGACTCCTTAATTAAAAGTTTCCTACAACTCAAGGTGCATATTAAAAGAGCTGAACAACTTAACGACTTCCTATCACCATATATTCCCACAACAATAGATAGCTTCAAAGCGTAGAAAAGTTTTATGGGCGAAATCTTTAGATACAAAACAACTGAACAAGGGCAATAAGCCCAAGTCCTTGCCAAAGAAACCCTGGCACAGAAGCGAGCCGTAGGAGAAACTCTAGCAAACTCTGGAACCCAATGCAATAAACCCGATCGATCGATGTTTTTAATGCTATGAATATAATCTATAACGTCATAAAATATGAACGATAGTCAAAGCAAATTGAATGGGGCAATCTATAGAATACTGAAGAGAAGCTGCTTCAAATTGCTGGGCTTGAAGGCACAGTTCACGTTGAAAATGGTTTCTGAGATTCCCCTCAGGATAAATTTGAGGCCCCCGCGTATAACATATCTGGCACTAATAGGTCGGAAAACGGCCCGGTCAGAGAGTTATAGAGGCCAAAAGATTGGCCCATGTGTGCCCTCGGACGAGTTTCACCGGTATTGTAGAGGCTGCACCGATCACAAGGAAACCCATGTAGGAAGTTCAAACAACTTGCCATGACTAATAGCGACAGTGAAAGGCAATTCTGGACAGTTTCGGCTTGATGTAGTGGGCCCTTTGCGCAATTGCAATAACTGAAATCTCGTCCCTTCCATGTTATTTCCGTCATGGCATCTCGTCCAACCTCTATTTTCCCTACTTTTCAGGAGCCATACTTTTCTCGAAATCGGCGAATGCTCTCGCTTTCTTTACTACCGATGAACTATTCCCAATCTATACTTACGCTTCTTGAATAAAAACGGGTACCTCTAAATTATCGTGAACTGTGCCTTGTAACAGAAGCCTTTTCTGTGATGATAAAAACCAGTGATATTGCAGAAGCAAATGCAAACTAAATTTTAATTCAGTAGTTTACGTTACCTAACTATTCATAAGCATATTATAATTGAGCTGCTATATTACAGTATTCAACCTGAACTATGAAATAATAGCATCCAAAATAGATAAATAGAATAAATAAACAACTTCAATAGGTAAAGTCATCATTGAAATGAACAAAATAAAGCCTAACGAAAGTCTATGGTAAGTCTAGAAACGAGTAAAAATCTGCTACAGGCAGCACTCACTCGGATACGAGGGTCCGCAGGTTGCGGAAAATCGAGCGCACTATGAATACTTCGACGGAGACGCATAAATTAGCAGAATGAAAAAAGACGCAGTTCATTCCAAATCGCAAGAAGTCCCATCAAAACAGGGAACGTTTCAGCTATGGAGTAACCGCTTCATTTGAGACCTCCCACAAGGCAAAGTTTAACCTATAAGTAGGTGGTTAGGAATGAGCTAGCTGCTACATACTGTGAAGGAACCAGTTCCCATATTCGGTCTCCTTAGGCCTTCCTAACTATGCGTTGCTGGTTAAAGGCACAATTCACGATTAAAATGGTTTCTGAGATCTCTCCCTAGGATACCCAGTGGCTCCGGACTTCCCGCCCCTCGATCGATGTCACGTCACACGAGTGTCGAGACGATACAGATTGCAGTATTCGTTCTAGGACCCACACACAATCAGATGATCGCCGAGTTAAGAGACGATGTTTTTCTCCCATTCTTTTACTCACTGCTATTCACTTTGCTGTTGCAATCCCCTGCTTAATTTTTTAACACAAGAGGCTGAAGAAGTTGGGCTGTTTTTGCTGTTACTAGGTTTTTTGTTAATTTATGCCTACGAGAGGATGAATTTTTGCTTACCATAGTCTGTTATTCGCACCAGGGCCCACACGTACGCAGTGAGACACATT